CCTTATTGCTTCTTGCTAATGCCTTTTCTTTATGGTGTAGTTACCAACAAATCTCCTGTCTTCCTTTCCTTACACTTAACTGGATTGAATTCAAGCCCATATGTTTGTGGTTGCATGTGATTGGTGGTGCTACATGGTGGTAGAGGTGTCATATTATTGGTACTTGGAGTTATGTGGTGATATTAATGGTGGTGTTATGTAGAGGTAGGTGTGGTGATGTGGTAGTGGAAAATAAAATTACTATACAGTAGTCACCTGCTTGAGGAAGGGGATGTAGGGAGCGATATTGTCTATCAATCTAAGCAATCTATTTATGCCCATTCAAGTAACAATCATTCTGAAGTGAGTTATGCTCCTGAAAAAGCTGTGTAAATCAAAAGTTTGCAAATCAAACTAATTGGAGCAGTATATTGCAAAAATAGAGTTATGTCCTGGAGACCTCCAAAAGTCAACTTTTCTGTGGGGAAGCTCCGTCGGCTCTCAGAAGCTATTGGACTAATACTAGCCAATATTGGTACGGGGAGCAATGGCCCTGGAAAACCCCCTTGTGGTTGGGGGTTTTCCTTATCTGCCATCGACCGGGGATAGGCACCCAGAAAGGTAGGCATAACAAAACAAACCCCACATGGTAAGAAGCTAAAACAAAAAAACGAACAGAGAAGTAGAAACTCCCTAAAATACCAAGGAAACAAGCAAACATCACACTTTACTGCTGCGCCGATTGTCCGCGCAGCCCTCCTTCCCCTGAGAGGGGGAGGGGGGCCCTGGACCTCACTGCACTGGCTGCCTAGCATCAGTGCAGGCAGCCAGCCTGCGCTGATGGCGAATAGACTCGCCAGGAACGTCATACTGTCGCCACGACGAAGCTCGCAGGTGGGACACCATCAATGAAGCCACCTGATCACCATAGAGATGGTGATACACCCGCGTCAAAAGACCAGACGAGAAGAGTCGAGGAGAAAGCCGAACAATTCACGTACAGGACCGGTCCGTCCTGCCGAGAGACGGAGCCGCGGGAAACGCCGTGGGTTCGGACGCCTATCGAGCAGTCTGAAAATAAAACTGGGCTGGCCACCAAGGAACCACAGGGGCTACTCTCCTTGGGAAGGACTCCAACTGAGCCAGAACCCGAAGATGAACCAGGAGAAAAGGAACAGGTAACTTCACCACGACCAAACCTGCCAAAAGGCATCCACCACGAACGCCTCGCAGGCGGGTAAGGGCACCACATAGAATGGGAGATGGCGAGATAACGCCGATGTGAAGATGTCCATGTCCAGGAGTCCATACGTCCGGCACAGCCAACAAAACGAGTCGGCGACGATCGGCCAATCTGTGAACAGAGGAATGAAACGGGGCGGCTCCAAGGAAATCTAGGTGGAAAACCAACCTAGAGTGTTGCAGCAACCTAAACCTAGCTTGCAACGCAGATGCCGCCTGTACTCTGAACAGTAAGGATATCAGGAGAGCTCCGGAGAACAAGCAGAGAAAACAACTCGCAAGACTCCAGGTCAAGGTGTCAGAGACCCAACAGGCAGCATGACGGAGGTAAAAGTGGCGACAGTCACCCCTGAGACAAGGGCACAGCAAACAACGAACCCGCACAAGACGGGATGGAACCCGGAAGACACATCCAATGGTCTACCGAGCCCCGACAGGGTTTTCCAGGGCCCGTAGACTGACTGCTACAGGAAGCCCGGGCAATGAGTTACTAACTCGTTAACACCCAAGCTAACAAGGGGTAGATGCAACACTGAAAACCCTTGCGACGTGTACAATCACAGATGCCTAGCAGAGGGGCACCAAACACTACCAGTGGAACTATAGCCACACTAGGCAGACCCCCACCAGGCAAAGTAAAATAAAAACAAACAAAATTCCTGCAAAAGTACACCGTCCCCAGAGGCAACAGGAACCGGTTGCCGCATAGGTGGCAGGCCGTGCAACACCTTGACACCCTAACCAGTACAACTTCAGTCCCTATCCAAGGCCAAACAAGGGCCCCAAGTCCCAGCTGGCCTCAAGAGTGAGGCAAAAGCCGAGCAGCAAGAGCCTCTACAGGAATGGTTCCCGAACGCCCCAGGGAAGATAACCCTTTCACGCAGGGGCAGTACTCACAGGGCGCTTAGGGAAAGAAGCCCCTAAGCGCATGCAGCCCCGGTACTGATCAGGAACACCTGGCCACTGCACAACACAACACACAGCAGTGAACGCCACACAAGGCAAACACCGCCAAGGAAACTGAGGCCAGAGAAGTGTCTCTGTCCCGGTTGACATTAGCTTAAGAACTGACGCTAGGCAGCTGGTGCAGTGAGGTCCGGGGGCCCCCCCTTCCCCTCTTGGGGCGGGGAGGGCTGTGCGGACAATCGGCTCGGCAGTAAAGTGTGACGTTTGCTTGTTTCCTTGGTATTGTAGAGAGTTTCTACCTCTCTGTTCAGTTTTTTGTTTTAGTTTCTTACCATGTGGGGTTTGTTTTGTTATGCCTACCTTTCTGGGTGCCTATCCCCGGTCGATGGCAGATAAGGAAAACCCCCAACCACAAGGGGGTTTTCCAGGGCCATTGCTCCCTGAAACCTCTCTGAAGGGGCCAGGTTCTGGCGCTGGTCCCTGGTAGGTCTGAACTCCATAGCTAATGTCCCGGTCTAATATAACATACATTAGCCTGATAAGCTCCAAGGAACCGTAGGGGCTCCCCACAGAAAAACCAACAAAGGGACAAGAAATAATGAAAGTTATTTATTACTGCAGCCCCAGTACACTGCTGTTACACCTGGCCACCACTACCACAACACAGCAGGAAAAACCACTACAGCAAAACACTGCGAGGGCCACTGCATAAAATCGAGGCCAGAGTTGACAACCGCCCCAGATCGCATTAGCCAACGAACTGGGGTTGAGTAGACGGCATGGTGGATCTGGAGCTCCCCCCTTCTAGGGAGGAGGGGGGCTGCCTGGACAAAGAGCAGTGTATGATGTTTGCTTACTTCCTTGAGAATTGGGGGAGTTCTGCCTCCCTGTTCGGTCTTCGGTTGCAATTTTCTTACCAAGTGGGGATGTGTTTTGTTATGCCTATCTTTCTGGGTGCCTAACCCAGGTCGATGGTAGATAAGGAATACCCACAACTACAGGGGGAGGGGGTTTCCAGAGGCCAATGCTCCCTGTGCTTCTTTGAGGGGGGGGGGGCAGGTTCTGGCTTGTGGTCCCTGGCAGGCTCAACTCCATCGACTAATGCCCTAGACTATTATATCACATATTAGCCCGATAGCTCAAAGGAGCCGAAGGAGCTCCCCACAGAAAAACTCTTTTTATATTTACCATTAACCACTACATTACTGAATAGTTACCAAGTCTCAAACAGAAATCAATTATATCCAACAGATTTAGCTCTACCATATTGGCAACACTTTCCTCTATTGATGTCAAATGATTGCAGCTAAGGAGGCCCAAAATCTTCATCTGAAGACAAGATATCTAAACGTATATTACAAAATAGAAATTATTGATTCGATGCATTTTTTAAAATATGCCAATCACACTGGACAACTTTTTTTGCAACGTACGCATTCCAGCTCATCACAGCGAAAGGGTTAACACTTTGCCTGGCCCGGCACGCTTTCCCCAGCACACCCACAAGGTCGACCGAGCGGTTCCCGTGAGCGCGCACTTGCACTAAAATGTTAATACAGTACTCATTTTCTCTTTTCCGACCTCAATTTGCTTGCTATTGAGTTCATTGTGGTATCAAATTATTCACAATCGAATTCTCTAAATGCATTCAAGGTCAAAAAACTTGGCGCACCACCTGCATCAAACCCGAAAATCGACTGAGTGTTACCCATGAGTGCAAACCCACACTCAAATGTTTATACTCTTTTTTTTCAGTGTTTTTACCTCAATTTTCATGCTACTTTGTTCATTTTGGTATTAAATTGTTTGCAACAGAATGCTCTAAATGGATATACAGTATGCATATACGATTAACTGGCCCGGCGCACCACCCACAGCACATCCGAAGTTTGGCAGAGTTTAACCCATGAGTGCGCACCCACCCGCACTCAAATATTTATTCGCTTTCCAGTCTTCCCACCTCAATGCTTGTGCTACGTAGTTAATTTTGATATCAAATTGTTCGTAATTGAAAGGCGAGCATTTTAGAACTAGTACTATAATAATCGAACAATAAATGGAATTTTAACAAATATTTTCATTTTGAACGCACTGTGCGACCTCGCACACACTAAGAGAGTTTATTCACATACAGACGCATGATGCGCTATCAGTCAGGCAAAGTGTTAATGAATACCTTAATGCATCATGAACCTATGAACAATGTGCAACCAGGCAAAGAATGCAAATATTGATTTAGATTTTTAACTTTCCACGATGTCCACTGGACATTTAAGTGGCCACATTTTACAGAGCTTAATTAATATCCTAGAATTCAACTCAAACACATTAATGTAAAAAAATCTTGAAATCTAGTTCAGATATCAAGAAACAGAATGTAGAAATAAATTTAAAAAAATTGAAATTGTATTGAAATAAACTAGTAGTATGAATGACTAACTGAAAAATGAACACTGGAAAACAATCAAAGATAGTTAGTACTGTATCTGGAAAGGACACAAATATAAGCACAACTGGGTCCTGTGGCAAAAACGGCAAAAAGAACATTACTGGGACTGAGAAAATTGAAAAGGACCATGGTAGAACTTTCATGGATTAATTGGCAGACATGTTTGCTATCCTAGACAATTCCTGCAATATAAATTTCTCATCCAAGCTGACTATTACTTGTACGAGAAATAATTATAATGAAATGAATAACAAATCTGTCAAACCAAAGTGAATAACATATGAAAGATATTACCAATAAGCATTCCATAAAGACTACTTAACTCACAATTTCTTAATACCATGAACTGGCACACTGAAGACTATATTAGGTGTGCAACCTCATAACTTAATATAAAAACACAACCAAGACATATAGTACTTACCCAGGCGTTCTAGTCTATCCCGTTCATTGGCAATGATGGCTTGGGAGACTGACGGGCTTGCATACAAATGGCTGTGGGGGAATCCTGAAGCCAAAGATACAGGTGGTGGAATACCCGGAAAGCGCCCACCACTCAACCAATGTGGAGAAAGACCATGAGGATATGCAGCATCAGCTGGGTTCAACGGACGCTTCATCATTTCCTGCTTGATACGATCCGACAGCTCTCGATCCCTCAACTCCCGAAGTTCACGCTCCCTGGCTTCTAACTCTAACCTCTCTTGAGATCCTGCTGGATAAAGTGCCGCCATGCTGCCAAAGTTAAATAGATCCAGACCAGGTGGTGGTCCGCCAGTTAGTCCTGGAGGCAAACCTAAGCCAGGCGGCCGTCCACCGCCAGGAGATAGCCCAGCAGGGGAGCGTGCATATTCACTGTAAGAGGATTTATATAATGTTAATATTAGTCTTATTACATAGGAATGAACATAGTACAAAATTAGTCTCTAGTTTAATAGTGTGCTTAGAAGCAAAATGAAGAGTACGAGTAGCTGAAAAAATATAGATACACAAAAATATAGATAAAAAAAAAAATATATAAAAAAAAAAAAAAAAAAAAAAAAAAAAAAAAAGAGCGAGAGGAGATACACAAAATGACAGAGGTCTCTGAAGTACTAAGAGATTCCATAAGTGTTTATATATGAACCAGAATTCCTAGTGGAAATGGAGAAGCAGAATTTAGCAAGTGAAAGACTGAGACAATATGTGATGAGAGAGAAGGTGAAGAAACAACCGGAGGCACTGGACAAGGTAGAGGCTATGAGATCTGATGAAATCTCACCATAGATATTGAAAGAGGCAGCCAGAGTTTTGAGTCGATCACTTGCAGCACACTTCACAGGTATGGACAACAGCAAATGCTGAACCTATATATAAAAAACTAAAAAAGGCAGGAGCCACTGAACTGCAGATGTGTATCACTACCATGGTTATCTTGGTGTTTTCGGGGCTTAGCATACCTTCGGCCCAATCGTCGACCAGGCATCCAGGTTGCTGGACTGGTCGACCAGGCTGTTGGATGCGGCTGCTCGCAGCCTGACATATGAGTCATAGCCTGGATAATCAGGTATCCTTTGGAGGTGCTTGTCAGGTTTTCTCTTAAACACTGTGAAGGGTTGGCCAGTTATGCCCTTATGTGTAGTGGAAGCGTGTTGAACAGTCTCGGGCCTCTAATATTGATATTCTCTCTCAGAGTACCTATTGCCCTCTGCTTTTCAACGGGGATATTCTGCACATCCTGCCATGCCTCCTGGTCTCATGTGATGTTATTTCTGTGTGCAGGTTTGGGACCAGCCCCTCTACTATTTTCCATGTGTAAATTATTATGTATCTCTCCCACCTGCGCACAAGAGAATACAGATTTAGGCCTTTCAGTTGATCCCAATAGTTTAGATGTTTTACCGAGTGGATTCTAGCAGTAAAGGGTCTCTACACGCACTCCAGATCAGCAATTTCTCTAGCTTGAAAAGGGGCTGTCATTGTGCAGCAGTATTCCACTCTAGAGAGCACTAGCATCTTGAAGATTATCATCATTGGTATAGCATCTCTAGTTTGAAAACTTCTTGTTATCCAACCTGTCATTTTTCTTGCAGTTGTGATGGCTACTTTACTGTGTTCTTTAAAGGTAAGGTCTTCCAACATGAGTACACCCAAATCCTTTACAATGCCTTTTCGTTCTATGATATGATTTAACTGCGTTTTGTACGTGGTTTCTGCTTTTATATTTTCATTTTTTCTGTAGTGCAAGAGCTGGAACTTATCTTTATTAAATACCATATTATTTCCTGTAGCCCATTGAAAGGCCTGATTCACATCTGATTGGAGGTTTGCCATGCACACACTGTTGTCTACTCTCATAAAAAGCCTAGTGTCATCTGCAAAGGATGATAGTGCTATAGTGTCCTTGTCTTTGTCCGACATGAGGATGAGAAAAAGTACTGGAGCAAGCACAGTACCCTGGGGGACTGAGCTCTTCACAGTTGATGGTCTGGATTTTATTTTGTTCACTATTACACATTGGGTTCTATTAGTCAGGAAATTGTAGATCTGACTAACACTAACAATCAGACCCTGCAAGGCACTGGAGACTAACCAGAAGACACAGCATTTAGACAAATCCTGCTGTCTCTAAACACCCCACATGAGCTCAGCAAAGGTACATCATGCTTAATGAATCTATTAAAGTTCTAATAGAAAATGACAATGATAAAACAGGAGAAGGATGAGGTGACTGTCTTCCATGATTGTCAGGCAGACTGAGGGAGAGAGAGAAAAAGACGGAAAGCACTGATGACAGAAAGAATTATGGAATGGGATTAGAGAGGGAGACAGATCAGATTATAGTGCATAAACTGGCAAAATAAAAATTTGGCAACCATGTATAGTCTATCTGTATTATTTTATATCTGGTCACAGTTTGGCAAAAGGCTGAACATAAGCATTGTAAATTATCAATGATCAACTGCAATTATGAAGAATATGCTGCTTTACAACTGTTATGGTTAACAGGATAAAAATATACATACAGTACTATACTTGTTTTCGTGGTACTGCACTTCCTCAATGACATTGAAATAATTTTAAAATCAGCCACTAGGGATCTATATGACCTAATAAGAATAAATTATGTAATAAGAGGCATTCTTAGCACAACCATACATTAGTGCTGAATGTTTCAACCCGATGCATCACACGGTGGGAAAAATATATGAAAATAATGCTCTGAACGTAATGAAATGTTTCTTTCTGGGAGGACCCTTCAGTAGATCCCAAATGCTACAACCTGGAAGCAACCACACCTTGGGGCTAACACCAGGACTCTATAAACCACAGGCACATACTGGGGGCCAGGAACAGAATCTGGCTCACCCAAAGAGGCAAAGGGAGAGCCTGGGGGATGAGAGACCACCACAGAACCAAGCACAAGACTTACAAGTAAGTTAAAAGGCTCCAAAACAAGCAACTACTTTGGGAAATTTGTATCCATTATGATAACATTGTAAATTTCACTTGCCACCAATAGAAGAGAGAACAGGGTAGACATGACCACCATTTACAAAATATTCAGGGAATGGACAAGGCAAAAAAGGATAATGGTAGTACACAAACAAGAGATACAGATGGAAACTAAGTACCCAATTATAAATTATTTTTTCAGTGTCAGGATAGTGAGCATATGAAATACATTAGGATATGAAGGGGTGGAGATAAATTCCATTTCATTACGAAATGTGAATATGACAAAGCCCAACAGGTTTTGGAGCTTATACATCAGTCGATAAAACCAGTGTTGAATGTAATGAAACTTTCATTACATTCAAAGAAACAGTTTCTTTCACCTTGATGCTCCTGTTACCTAGCAGTAAATAGATACCTGGGAGTTAGTCAGCTGTCACAGGCTGCTTCCTGGGGGTGGAGGCCAGGTCGAGGACCGGGCCATGGGGACACTATAAAGCCCCTAAATCATCTCAAGATAACCTCAAGATAACCATATCCGCACTGTTTGGCGCGCACGGGCTAACGAGCGACCTCGTTTTTTTATTTGGTACTGGTCTCACGCATGCTTTAGTGACATTTTATACATATGTTCCTCTAAAACATTCTATTGCGAACACATTGATACCAAAATGAAACACGTACATCAAAAAATAAGGTCACAACACTGAAAAGAGTATACACTTTTCAGTAGTGGTGTAGCCGCTGTGCCTTGGTCATGCGGTAACAGGTAACACTTCCCTGACTTCCCACGTTATAGCGGGTGGGGCGGGAACACGATTTGGACTTGATATTCATATATTCGTATAGGAAATTTTATTGCGATCACAGTGATACCAAAATGGACGATGTAGGACAAGTCTGGAGGTGATAAACCTGAAAAGAGTAAAAACATTTCATCGCTGTTTGGCGTGCACGGCTAACGAGCGACCTAGTTTTTTATTTGGTGCCAGTCTCACTGGCTTTAATGACATTTTATACATATGTTCCTCTAGAACATTCAATTGCGAACACATTGGTACTAAAATGAAACACGTACATTAATAAATAAGGTCACAACACTGAAAAGAGTATACACTTTTCAGTGTTGGCACTTGATTGCCCGACACGCCAGGCGCACAAGGGGGAAAGTTACATGGCCGCCTGCTGGGAGCGCGATAGTGTTAAGAAACCTGCAGACGACCTGGGAGACCTTAAGCCCTAAAACAGGGAACGAAAGAAATCAGATCAACCCAAAGCGTCTCCCCAGCCACGGCACGCAGGTAACAGCGAAGAGCCGCAACAGGACAACACATGACGCACCCCCGGCCGAACCAACCAAGAATCAATAACCCAAGGACCCCTCCGGAAATCAGGCGTCTCGACCTTTGCCAGAAGGGCGGAGAAAGGCTGCAAACATACAAACCTACCACCATTACCAAAAGAGCAAAAATCCCTGCGCCGGAGGAGAGCCGGAAGCTCCCCGACTCGACCCGCAGAGGCCAATGCCAACAAAATACAGTATGGCCTTTGAAAGAATCTTGAACCGAAAGGGCTACCACAAACTGAGGAGAGGAAAGATAAGAAGGCACCCTGATTAAGGACCAGGATGGCTCAGGCGGCACATGAGCAGGCCGGGGGTGAAACATGAGAAAGCGTACGGAATGGGGCGGATGTGACGTCCACCCCAAACACAAGCTGGAGTGGCTCCGCCAGCGCCGCACGATACGAGGTGACAGTAAGAAGCATCATTTAACAGTCCTGAAAACCCAAGAAAGGACAAGACAACCCAACGCGAAAGAGAAGACAACGAAGAGCAAGAAATGGCGAATAGAAATGCCAGAAACATCATACTGTCGCCGAGACGAAGCTTGCGGTTGGGACACCATCAACGAAGCCACCTGGTCACCATAGAGACGGTGATACACCCGGGTCAAAAGACCAGATGCGAAGAGCTGAGGAGAAGGCCGAACCAGTCAAGTACAGGACCGGTCCAACCTTCCGAAAGAGACGGGGCCGCGGGAAACGCCCCGGGTTCGGACACCTATCAAGCAGCGTCGGAAAAAAATGGGCCAGTCCTTAAGCGACCATGAGGACTACTCTCCTTGGGAAGGACTCCAACCGAGCCAGAACTCGAAGCAACAGCTGAATCAGGAGAACAGGAACAGGTAACTCCACCTCGACCAGTCCTGAAGAAAGGCATCCACCGCGAACGCCTCGCAGGCGGGTAAGGGTGCCACATACAATGGGAGACGCCGAGACCACGCAGACACAAAGTTGTCCGGCACAACTAACGAAATGAGTCAGCGACGACTGGCCAATCTGTGAACAGAGGAATGAACCGAGACAGGCCGTCGACCAGGACTTAGGACACACCCCGGACATGAAACGCGCAGCTAGCCAAACGCCAAGAATCCAGCAGACAAGCCACTCGAAGGGACCAACCCCAAAGGTCAAGGACCTAAGAGAATCCTTGTGGTTCCGCCAATGACCCAACAGAGTATAGTCCGAATGGAGCCAGATGGTAGAGCCCTGAGTGACCTGAACCCTCTGAAGCGCAAACCCGACAGCCACAAACTCTCGAACCGTGCTGTGAACCCGATGGACGGATAGACCCCACCATCCCTGGCCAACTTGGTGAGCACTGGTCACAAAACCCCAGCCAGAAGATGACCCATCCGTGAACACATCGAGTGAAGGCTTGGGGAGGCACTAAAGCACGGAACCCCGAAAACCTGCCCAAGCCAGCCCCTCCCCGGCCCCAAGGTCCTCCTCCCCAAGACCCGGGGCCGAGTCCTCCCCCCCCCCAAGCATCGACCCCCACTACACAAGGCCGCGCAGACTTAGAAGCCGGACAGAAGGGGGCCCACTGGTCAGACCCAGAGGCTTTGGCCGGGTAAGTAGACTCGAATGCCTCCGTCGCCACACCGGAAGAGGCATCCCCCGAGGCTGCCCAAGTCTCACGACCAACTAACCCCTGCCCCGACTCCGAAACCCTCAGACGTTTTGGAGCCGGAAGCAGGGGAGGGGGACCAGAACAAACGACAGGAGGGAAGGACGAGGAGGTGCAGACTGAACCAGGGTGAGGCGACCTCCACCCCCCAAGTTCGGGTCCCTATTAGCAAAACGGGGCATCCGGGTGAGCAACCAACCGAGTGCGTTGCAACAAACGAAACCTAGAATGAACTCAGGGTCCAAAGTGTCACCGACCCAACAGGCAGCGTGATGGAGGCAAAAGCCGTGAGGGTCGCCCGGAGACAAGGGGACCGAACAACCCTTAAACTCGCATTAAGAGAGGGGGGACCCTGGGGTCACATCCATCAGACCCACGCATCCCCTAGGGGATTCCCAGGGTCCTGAGTGTTTACTATAAGAGGACTCGCGCTCAGGTAAACCCAGGCAGGGTACTGCTAACCGGCCCCCAAAATTACCAGACAAACCGTCTACAGTAGAACCCCAGGGACGTGTACACTCACGGGGACCTAGCAGAGGGCACTGCCAAGTATCAGGATGAGGCCAAACACCAGTGGCAAGTAGGGCAGAACCCCCCTACCAAGGCAAAAACAAAAAGAAAACAAAACCCCACAAGAGGACAGCGTACCCCAAGGAACAGAGCCAGCCGCTGTGATTGGTGACAACAAGCTGCACAGCACCCTGCACCCCTTACCAGTGCAAAACTGCCTCCTATCCTAAGGTAAACTAGAGAAACAAAACACCCAAGTACCCAAATGGTGGCCGAAAAACCGAGCAGTTAAACGAACCCACAGAGACAGATCCCAAGGAACCTGTGGATCTGCTCCAAGCTCCAAGGGCAGTACTTATAGGGCACCTAGGGAAGGGAACCCTATGCGCATGCAGCCCGAGTACTGAAGAGTAACTCCTGCCTCTCGCACCCCTGGAGAACAGCCGCCACACACAAGGCACATCGCCGTAAAAGTCTGGAGCCAGAGAACACTATAGCATCAGCCTCAAGAACTGGGGGTGTAGATCGCCGGCGTGGTAGGTCTGGGGCTCCCCCTTCTCCCTCCCGGGTAGGGGGGAGCTGTACAGATGGCGGCGCGGCAACAAGTGATGTCACACTAGTTTGCTCGTTTTTGTTTGAGGAGTTCTATCCACTTGTTCGACTTTTGGTAGCAATATTTTCACCAGAATAGGGGTTTGTTTTAGGATGCTTGCCTTTCTGGGTGCCTGACCCAGTCAATGGCAGACACAGAATGCTTCCAACCACATGGGGGGGCTTCTATAGGTCATTGCTCCCCCTGCCTCTCTGAGGGGGTCAGGTTCTGGCCATGGTCCCTGGTAGGCCCAAAGAACTTCATAAATATGACTGACGCCAAAGTCTGACATTAGCATATCAGCCTGGATAGCTCTGGGGAGCCATAAGGGCTCCCCCCATTAAAGAAAAAAAAAAGCTCCAGGAGGTAAAAGAAATGCAAAACCGAAGCCAAGCAGAGGCAGATCCCAAGGTGACTTGAGGAAGGTAGCCCCAAGCCCCAAGGGCTGTACTTACAGGGCACCTTCCCTAGGTGCCCTGTAAGTACAGGGCACCCTGAAAACGCTGATGTAATTTATACAGATTTTGCAAAAGCTTTTGATAAATGTGACCATGGTGTTATTGCACATAAAATGCGTTCAAAAGGAATTGCCGGGAAGATAGGCAGATGGATCTACAATTTCCTGACTAGCAGAACCCAATGTGTAATAGTCAACAAAATAAAATCCAGCCCATCAACCGTGAAGAGCTCAGTCCCCCAGGGTACTGTGCTTGCTCCAGTACTTTTTCTCATCCTCATATCGGACATAAACCAGAACACAACCTATAGCACTGTATCATCCTTTGCAGATGACACTAGGATTTTCATGAGAGTTGGCAACATAGAGGACACGGCAAACCTCCAATCAGATGTAGATCAGGTCTTTCTATGGGCTACAGAAAATAATATGGTGTTTAACGAGGATAAGTTCCAGCTCATGCGCTACGGAAAAATTTAAAATATAAAAACAGAAACCACGTACAAAACTCAGGCAAATCATAACAGAACGAAAAGGCAATGTGAAGGATCTGGGTGTACTCATGTCAGAAGACCTTACCTTTAAGGAACACAATAAAGTAGCTGTCACAACTGCAAGAAAAATGACAGGTTGGATAACAAGAACTTTTCACACTAGAGATGCTATACCGATGATGATACTTTTCAAAACGCTTGTGCTCTCTAGAGTGGAGTACTGCTGCACAATGACAGCCCCTTTCAAAGCTGGAGAAATTGCCGACCTGGAGAGAGTGCAGAGATCCTTTACTGCTAGAATCCACTCAGTAAAACATCTAAATTACTGGGACCGACTAAAGAGCCTAAATCTGTACTCCCTTGAGCGCAGGCGGGAGAGATACATAATAATTTACATGTGGAAAATAATTGAGGGGCTGGTCCCAAACCTGCACACAGAAATAACATCACATGAGACCAGAAGACATGGCAGGATGTGCAGAATACCCCCGTTGAAAAGCAGAGGTGCAACAGGTACTCTGAGAGAGAACTCTATCAACATCAGAGGCCCGAGACTGTTCAACACGCTTCCACTACACATAAGGGGCATAACTGGCCAACCCCTCACAGTGTTCAAGAGAGAACTGGATAAGCACCTCCAAAGGATACCTGATCAACCAGGCTGTGACTCATACGTCAGGCTGCGAGCAACAGCGTCTAACAGCCTGGTTGCTGGACTGGTCTAACAGTCCAGCAACCAGGAGGCCTGGTCGACGACCGGGCCACGGGGACACTAAGCCCCGGAAGCACCTCAAGGTAACCTCAAGGTAAGGTGACCGTAGGCGCATGCAGCCGGAGTGCTTGTGAAATTACTCCTGGCTCACGCCCCACTAGAGAAACAGCACCACACCACAATGCACAGAGCTGGAGGACAGGAAAACAGTAGCCAGAGTCACACAACCATTGAGAATAACATCAGCCTAAGAACTGGGATGTGGATAGCTAGTGTAAGGGTCTGGGGTTCCCCCTTCCACCTCCCGGGAAGGGGGAAGCTGTGCAGATAAGTGGTGCAGCGACGTGGTGACGTCATGCTCGTTTACACGTTTTCGTTTGGTGGAGTTCTGTCCACTAGTTCGTCTTTCAGTAGCAATTTTTTAACCAGAATAGGGGTTTGTTTTAGAGCGCTTACCTTTCTGGGTGTTTGACCCGGTTGATGGCAGACATAGAATGCTTCCAACCACACGGAGGTTTCTATAGGCCATTGCTCCTTGTGCCTCTCTGATTGGGCCAGGTTCCGGCTCGTGGTCCCCGGTAGGCCTAAAACTCCAGTCACACTGACTGATGCCAAAGTCTAATATATCCATTTCAGCCTGGATAGCTCTGGGGGGAGCCTTAGGTGCCCCCCCCCCAGAAAACACTAAATTACACCAATAATATATGAGTGCCCCTCCAAGTCAATGCCACTATTAGAGAGAAAAGTTCAGAAAAGATTATTGATAATAAAGGCTTGATACTTGCTTGATGGGGCTCTGGGAATTCTTCCACTCCCCCAAGTCTGGCCTTGGAGCAGCCCACAGGCCCACATTTCCACCACAGCCCGGTTGGTCCGGCACTCCTTGGAGAAAATTATCTAGTTTTCTCTTGAAAATTTTCATGGTTGTTCCAGCAATATTTCTTATACTCCCTGGGAAGCTGCTGAACAACCGTGGACTTCTGATGTTTATAAAGTGTTCTCTGATTTTGCCTATGGCATCCCTTCACTACTTTTAATGCATATTAACAGAAATTTATTTACCCAAGTCTTGAGAGAGCTGGTGTATCCACTGGGTTCCTTTGTGGCATACGATCATAAATTGAGCTGCTTTCCCCTGAGCTTGAAGGCTTGGGTGTCTCTCGCTTGTCTGGGGTGTTTGCTTTCCGCTGGAAAACAAAAAAGAAAAGATCCTTCCTCATTATCATTAGATTCAATTCTTGTAAGAGGGAGGGGGAGGGAATTATCAGAGGAAAGGGCCAAGCCATTATGACTATATAGCACTTGGAAGGGATCAGGATAAGGATTTCGGATGGGAAGGAATGGTGCCCAACTACTTATATCGTCGTGGATTTGCAGCCACTGATTTGTAGTGGCTGCAAATCAGGAGTGATGGGTTACGGATGCCTCTGGCCAAACTCTGATAGAAACATTGAAATTCTGATAGCACATTGAAATTTAACTGAAGTCAAAATCATTCATTACCTACATAAATCAGTGAGGCTCTCAGCTACTCTCTCCCAACCTGATCTCAGGGCATGGACAGACCTTTACTGTTATATCTCTCATTAAGTACTTTCTTACTTTACCTGTGAATTTTTTTAAAATATAGGCTCATCACACACATTTCACACATTCACGTAAAATTAGAATTCTGATTATTAATCTCTCTCTGAAACAATCTTCCAATAGTTTTTCACCTTCTTAAAAGCTAATAATCACTTTTTCAAAACCCAATTTACCTATATTGATGATAATTTTACTGAATACTGAAGTTATATAATAAATATCCTCCAATAATTCATATATCCAGGACAACTGGGACAAATAATTCATCTGGTACAGCAACAAAAGGATCACAAGAACTGAACAAACACAACATTCATCTAGCTCTTTGGTTAGATCAAAATATATTGGCTGACACACAAACAGGAAATTGACCCAAAAGGGATGTGGCTCTATGGTATGTGCATCAACATTCACAACCTTTCTCCATACCTGTATTCTCTCTCTCTCTTCTCGTTCTCTTTCTGCCTGTTTTCTTAACCTTTCTTCTCGTTTTCTTGCTAACTGGCTATTAGGAACAGGCTTGAATGTGAGATCAGTGCGGGTGCACGAGTTGAAATCTCCACGATTCCAGTGACGCAGGAAACTACAATTGAAAACACAATATGTAATATCATTTGCCGAGAATTTTAAAACTAATGTACTAATGTATAAGCAAATGATTGTAAGTCAAGTACATTTTATATAAACACAAGAGAAACCCTAAATGTTAGAGCAAGATTGCTGTACTTGCTGCTTCTTACCAAATAAATGTCCAAATAAATACAAAATTAATAAAATAAATAGGTGAAAAATACATTACAAAGTTTGTGAAATTTCTCTCCTAAGGTTAGGAGGAACAAGATTAATACATAGATATATACTGTAATGAATTTTTACTGGAAGTTAAGCTAATTTCTGGTAAATGCCTAAATTTTAAATTTACACACGAGCTTACAAAAAAGATACTCATGATAACTACATTCACTGATGAGTTGATAAAAATTGGATAAGGCCAACCAATTTGCTTTAGCAAAATTTAGTTGAACATTATACTTATGGACCTGTAGCATTTAACTCTTACAATAATTGCTTACATAGAGTTTTCACATGATACATATTGAGGCTGTTTGTGATAGTCAAGTTTGTTGTATATGTGATCAGTTTTATGCTCCACCAACCAACCAACCAAATATATATTATATATATATTATATATTATATATATATTATATATATATATATATATATATATATATATATATATATATATATATATATATATATATATATCCACAATAATTTTTAAATTTAATTCACATCAGGCATCACAGTCATTTTCAGTGCTAGCATGTGTAAAACACTTTCGATAACATTTACAGATTTCAAGCTGTTGTACAAAGCAAGACAAGAGTGGCACAGTTGAAAACACATACCAATCAAAATATTTCATGTGGCACAACCCACTAAGACAGCAAAAAAATTAAAAAGGAAAAGCATAATATTCCCTAGTAAAACTACATATTAATGACTACATAAGGGTCCATTTGATTAACTATTTACCTAAAGCCTTTTAAAAGTCATCCACAGACTTACATTGCACTTTCAGAACGATGAAATTCCGAGTCTTCTATCTTTGGTTCTGGGGAAGGTTCCCTGTGAGAAGGTAGGTCATCATCACCATCATCGTGTTCTTCTCCTTCATGAACAGTGGCTCCAGTGTTATGGGTAGATGCAGGACCTCCTGGATATGCTGGGTGGCTTGGTGGCACTGTGGCTGGCAAGGCCTGAGTTGTAGGTGGCTGGCCAGGAGCAGGTGTAGGAGGCTGAGTTAGATTCACAGGCATACTAGGAGGCTTCACAACAGGTCCTGTATGAGCTGCTGGAGGTGTGGGCATTGTGGTTCCTGCTGATGAAACTGGAACCATACCAGGAGGCAATCCAGGTGGCAATCCAGGTGGCAATCCAGGTGGCAATCCAGGTGGCAATCCAGGTGACATTCCTGGCAACCCAACGGCAGGTCCCGGTGGACGCAAACCAGGTGGTACTGGTGGCGGCTGACTAGATGGCAGCTTACTTGGGGAGGAGAGGTGGGAAGGTGCTCCAGAGCGGCTAGCATACACTGGTAGCCCTAGATGAGAAGCTGAATGTGATCCTAGTGTTGGTGATGGCTTTGTTGTGGTTGATGAGGTTGTTACAGTTGATGATGATATTGCAAACGATACAGGATTTGGGGAAACTCTACTAGAACTTCCCGATGAAGAAACAGGGATAAAAGGCCCATTACTATTAGGACGTTGTGAAGGTGACTGTGGTCGATGTGATGTAGATCGAGGATGTCCATGATAAAATTGGATGGGAAGTGGATAACCATAGGGTGCGTAAGGGTAAGGATATCCAGGTATGGTGAGATGAGCAGGCAAAGATGATAAAGTTGTGACAGATGTAACACTTGGAGGACAAGTCGAGATTGGAGGCTTAATATCGTGCCGATATTCCGATTTGAATTCCGCAATGATTTCTGGCCTATCACTCCTTTCTAATTTTATTTCAGGCTTTGGTTCAGACTTAATTAATTCACTTTTAAATCCATCACTCAACATAGGAAGCTGTTCATACTTAATTTTCTCAGTTCTTGGTACAAGTTCAGGTTCACGCTTTATTTGCTCTGGCTTAATGATTCCAGGAGGACCAGAATATTGGGGAATGTTTGAACCAGGTATTAAAGGTGAGCGTGATGATACCAATGGGAGGCTTGCAGGAGGTGTTCCTGATAATCCAACAGTGTATGCTGCAGGTGCAGGACTTCCTCTTGCCACAGAGACAGTGGTGGAAGGTGCTTGACTAACTGGAGGATTTGATGTTCCTGTTTGGGGATAGCCATGGACAGCAGATGGTCTTAAAGCAGGGTGAATTCCTGGAGAAAATCTGACAGCCTCAGGTTCTGATTTGATTTTGATAGGTTTGTCTTGCGTAGTAGGTGGTGTTCCTGGTAATGTAGAAAGCGTACTATGTGGTACACTACTAATAGGTGCTCTCACTACAGATCCACGCTCTTCAAAATTTATACTTGTTACAGGTCGCAATGCATTAGATACAGTTGTCGTTGTGACTGGAGATGTGGTAGATAACCCAACAGATGCTACAGGAGCTACTACAGTAAGGGAAGATGGCCTGGTGGCACTGGGAGTAACAAGCTGCGGGACAGGAGGAACACGGTTTCCAGAAACTACTGGCCTATTATGACCCTGATTTATGACACTGCTCATAGTTGATATGACTGGGGCAGATGATACGACTGCTTGTTTATATTGAGTGACAACTGGCGACTGTGTTGTTGACACAGTAGTAGTAAGGCGACCCGTTACTTGTCCTTGTACTGCTGAGCCACTGTGAGCTGGAGGAGGCACTAAACCTCCAGGAGACAACCTTGGTATTGCAGCAGCAGCTGCTAGCGAAGACTGCACTACACTACTCCATGTTGGCTGCACCTGAGCAGTGCTTGTTACACCACATGTGGTAGAAACTGGAATATTGGGAGGTGCAGGAGAACCAGGCATGACTGGCCATACTGTTCCTGAGTGCATCAGCTGTCGAGGCTTTGCTGGGGGAGCAGGCGATGGTGATGAAACTGACATAGGAATGAGATGCGATGAAATTGATGGTGAAGGTGATGACGGCACTGTTGTGGTAGTAGTACAAGTGGTTGGAGTGACAGTTGAAACTGGAATGTGAATAGGAATGGGGGTAGATGTCGCAGTAGTAGCTGTTGTAACTGCAAGAGTATGTATGGGTAAGGCAGTAACTATAGGAGTTGTTACTGAAGTTGTAATGGTAGCAGTTGTAGTTGTAGTGGTGATGGTGGCAGTAGTTGTGGTAGCTGTTGATGTGACCACAGCAGTGGTAGAAATGGGATGATATGCTCCAGAAGTAACCGATGCTTCTGAACGGGGAGGTGCAACTGGGTGAAGTTGTGGAGTTGGCGTCGATGGAGCAATTGGAGACGGGGAACTCGGATCACCACTTCCACCATCACCTTCATCAGAACTTTCCTCTGAACTAAGACCAGATATCTGAAAAAACAACACCCTTCATAAAATATCTTTAAAAATTAACAACACATTAACAAATATACAATCAGTCTTTGTATTGACATTAGTACCTGCAACTTTGGGGTTTTCCTCATACAGGACCTAGTTCACTGCAGGTGCCTTGTCAACAGTCCACTTCTCACTGTTTTAAGCCCTTGATAACCGGAATCACCACACTTGATAGTTCAGCGAGACTGGGGGCTCTGCATTTGCATGGAGCCCGTGTTTGTGGGCCACTGCACAGTTTGGAGGGTGGGGGAGGGTCCTCACAGAAGGGTCCTATGCAGGGTCCCCTACAGCATAGGGCACCTGTATTCTGTAGGTCCTAAAACCCAGCACTGTAGGGTTCTAGGCAGTTTACTCTCTAGTTCACCTAGTGGGTTTGGCTGTCAGTGCTCTCATTTGTAGCAAACCTTTGAACTTTCTCAAATTTTGCTTCATACTTTAGTAGATGGTAGATTCAACAACAAAGCTATATATTCTAGTATATGCTAAACATAGATCATGTAGAATTTCTTGAACTTACTTATCCAATTGCCACTGATATTTTTCTATTATATCTATACCCAGTTCTTTGTCCTTTTGTGACTCAAGCATTTGCCCTACCATCACTGTATACTCACCCTGTGCCCTACTCATGACCAACCAATATTGCCTAACCTTACATTTGCTTCAGTTAACCCTTAAATGGTGCATGGCTATATACCATTTGACACCCACAGGCACACAAAAAAAAAATTATTTTTTCTTCCTAACCTATTAATTTGTGTTCACTGATCATGGTAAAAATAATAAAAAAGTCATAAGTGGCATATATTGCCCGCTATAGGGTGGGGAAGTCTGGCAAAAAACAGGTGCTGACTCAGCGTGCGTCCCAGGTGGTCTGTTGCTTGCCAGCTGTCAGGCTGGAGTTGCCACAAAGAGATAATTACCTAATTATTTCAATGTCTCTGATTGATTTTTCGTAGTTTTTTGCTGTAATATTATTCAATAGTGTGTAGTGTGATATATAATAAAATGAGTGAATCATCACTGTACTCAAAAATATGGTGTGCATATTGTTGATTCAATTATATTCATCAAACAGTGAACAAATACTTTGTCGGTTATTACACTATATACACAGGTTATATATAAGTATCTGCATGTTTTGTTCACCATAACGAACCACTAAGTTGCTATTATGAGTCAAAAAGTAACGAGGAGTGACTGCCGTGTACCAGCCAGCCACTCACGCCCTCCCTCAACACCTCACTCACCCACATTCTCCTCCCACAATACTGTTTTTGCTTTTATTTACTATATACAGATGCTATATATAAGTATCTACATTCGTGTTCACCATAACGAACCACTAAGTTGGTACGCTGAGTGGCAGTGGCAGCGAGAGGCAGCCCGCCACTGGCTGCCACTCCCTCCCTCCCTCACCTCACTTGCCACAATTCTCCACCCACCATACTGTTTTTGCTTTTATATACAGACGTTATATATAAGTATTTACATGTTTTGTTCACCATAAATGTACATCTAAGATTCTATGGTGAGTAAAGGCACAAAGACGTAGGACCTCACACAGTCAGCTGATGGCTGCCGCCCTCAAGGCCAGACACACTAATATTTCTCCTCCAACAATACTGTTTGTGGTGTTATTACACTATATACACACATTATATATAAATATCTACCTGTTTTATTCACCATACTTGTACAAGTAAACTGGTATGGTGCCCAAAGACCATCGTGGTTACCAGTAAACAACCTGATAAATCATGCAGACGACGCCACCGCCCTCACCAAAATGGCGGTTCCCAACCTACTCCTCTTGCTGTTTATACCCTCTATACACACGTTACATATAAGTATCTACATTTGTATTCACCACAGCAAACCACTAAGCTGGTATGGTGAGTGCAGTCAATAAAAGGTGACCACACACAGTCAGAAGACAACGCCACCACCCTCCCTCCCACAGCATTGCTCCTCCCTCCATGCAACACAGCGCTAAATATCACCACAATCCTGCTATTATCAGAACCCTGGTCAGTTTTATCAGTCATGGGTCTTCTGTAATAATATCATCGCTACATAATAGCATGAACAAGTATATTATGGCATTTTTAGGCGATGCTGTGGTCACAAGTTGAACAGCAGTGCTGTGAGCTCATGCTGCGTGCATCAGGCTTGGTAGCTCACTCAATACTGAGGCCCCTAACACCCAGGAATTTGGCCCACGATTTTTTTTTAAAAATGGCGTCTGTTTACAAGAGCCCTGATGAAGGTGTGGCGAACCCCGTGTATCCGCGGGCCGTTTAAATCTTGCGTAGTACTCCAAAGCATCATATGATGCGATGCGCAATTTAAGGGTTAAAGCCAATCATCTTGGACCATTTTAATAGTTTATCCAAGTTCACCTGCAACATTTTGCAAATCTCCCACATTGGCAGTTATGTCATTGACATTTATCAGAAACTGAATCCTAGTACTAAACCCTGTGATATTTTGCTCATTGTACCTTATAAATGTTATACTATTTATTTCAGTTAACACACACTAATTTTAGTTTAGATTACTGTACTTTAAAAGTAATATTAACAGGTATATATTTATCTAATGGAACATCTTGGGATATATAAAAATAATTCAATAAAAATGAATAAAGGCCGGAAAATACACACATCTCCACCACTGCGTTTCCTCTTGTTTGGCGTGGACGACCCAGAGGCTTCGTCAGGACCAAGCGTTCGCTTTACTCGTCGCACAGTCTTGTCCTCCACCTGCAACAGCACATTATGTACTTTCTATGGAGATGGACTACCATTTCATTAATCAATAAAAGCAATCAATGAAGGTACTGTAGTTCTTCCCATACAACATGTCTTTGTATCTGGGCAAATGTATTCTTTAAAACACCCTCTTCACAATTTATGTACATGAAATATATACTGTATTTGTGAATATACAGTAAATTACCTCCCTATTACTGCAAACACATACAGTTTAAATAAGAATAATTATCAGCATCATCTATGAATCTAAGACACGTGAATCCAATGGGGTGGACACTATAGCAATATGTTCTACATAGAGAAGAAATATATTCACACTATTTATTGCTTACCAAGGTAATAAATAGATGGATGTAAGGGAATGGAAGTTATTACCAGTTTATCATTACCTATTTGCATTAAGTGGCAAAAAGCTGCAGCCATGCGTTCCATCTTGTATATTTCATCATAAAAGTTTTAACAATTACAATGATTTTTTACAATGTCTCAAAATTTGTATGGAGTATATCCCAATATCCACCACTTGACTGGTAATACAAAAGTTATCCCTGTTGTCTTTTCTACACTTTTCCTAAACTATACCACATTGTTGCTCACAAATACCTGCTTGCTTCATACCTACTTGATGGGGTTCTGGGAGTTCTTCTACTCCCCAAGCCCGGCCTGAGGCCAGACTTGACGTGTGAGAGCTTGGTCAAGCAGGCTGTCGCTTGGAGTGACCCACAGGCCCCACACACCCACCACAGCTCGGTTGGTCCGGCACTTCTTGAAGAAAACTATTTAGTTTTTCTCTTGACAATGTCCATGGTTGTTCTGGCAATATTTTTTTATGCTCGCCGGAAAGATGTTGAACAACCGTGGACCTCTGATGTTTATACAGTGTTCTCTGATTGTGTCTATGGCACCCCCTGCTCTTCACTGGTTC